TGGGGGAACCTGCCTCATTGGGGGGTTTGAGCACCGCACCGTTTTAAGCCCGGCGGCTGTCGAAGTAATCCCGTTTTTGGGCCCGGCGGCCAATGCATCAGTTGATTCTATGGATGTGTCAATGACTTCCAGTGGAAATCCGGTGAAAGGTGGCAAGTTGGGGTGGATGATTTCCTATGCAAAAAACGGCGCCCCTGTGACGGGGATCACACTCAGCACCCGAGTGGGACGGCTGAGCGAAACACACTCTGACATTGGTTTTCAGTGACTCAGTTCCCACGTTGGGAAGGAAGGTGAGGGAACGGAAAGGTGCGTGAGTCAGCAAAACCGTATTGTTGAACAAAGTTTCGACAGGTGTGCGGTGGCGAGCCTCTGTACAATTCAGCTGCGTGAGAAAGTGGAAGGGTTTGTGGGAAGTATCATGAACCACCATGGAATCAAAAAGGAGGATTGGAACAGCTTGCTCAACCGTTGAAGCAGGTACAGGTGGATGATCAGTCCACCCATCCCTCGATACACCAGAGCTTCGTTGCGTCAGGTAGGTGTATCGAGCCTGACGCCCCTGCTTGTGAATCGGTGGTGGTACACGTGGCAGGTGGATCGGTTGGACGAAACCCTTGGTCCAGGGGTGGACACACACACACACACACCCGTCATCATCCAGTATGTCCTTGGGCGTTCTTTTGTGCGTATGGGGAACTGGGGGTGTCAATCGTTAAGAACCAGGAAATGAAAGAATTCGACATCTACATGACCTACCCGAACAACTCGGCAACTCGGCAGAGCCGCGTCCGATGCTCGCACGACGAGAGGAGGAACGGTGAGAGTTTCTATTAGGGGGAAGGCCAGGTGTGGCACCCTTAATCAGTGTGACCTGTGGTAACCTGTGGATGTTCGTGGCTTCCCACTTACTTCCGCAAAGACTCTTGGCTTCTTCGTCCCAGTGCAGGTATGTAACAAAGATGTTTCAACATACTGTTTGGGAATTTGAGAGAAGAATCTCATGGTGAAAGAGCTGGCAGCTCGAATGTCAGTAACGATCTGGACCTCACACATGGTGTCAAACAGATTCAAGCAGCTAACATGCATATTATATATGACCATAATGCAGGCCCCATGATCCTACCAGCTGGACAGTTGAGGAGCTGCCCAATCGCCTGTTGGCTGAGCGGGTCCAAGTGACCAACGGCGGCGTCTCCGTGATGATCTCCTTCCCGGCGCGGACGCCCAGGGCCGCCGTGACAGCGGGCGACTGGCGGGTGCGCCCAGGGCGCGTGCGGCGCGCGGTGGTGTGAAGAAGAGGCATGAACAGGGGGCGCTTTTGCAGAGCCCTTTTTCTGCCCAAAGGCTCTCATCAGGCGGCATCTGGACCGCAGCTGTCCAAGACCCGGAAGGAAGATCCCTCTCCCAAAGCCAGGGTCCCGGTCCCATGTGGCCACGTGGGTCCCCCGACTCGATGCACAGCTGAGTGGATGGGGATGGAGCCCCGGAAGGTCCACCGTTTTCTTCAAAAGAACTGGGAAAAGTATCCCTAGACTTGCAAGACCATTACAAAAATGGTTGATCTGGTTTTTGTGTAAAATCCTTAGTTGATTCGGTAAAGCCTATTACATTAATGGTGCTTGGACACCTATAAGGGCTATAGTATAGCTGTCGTGCCCGCGCAACGTGGCTCCGGTTACAAGATGACCCCATCAGGTCCGGCATGTCCATCAGGTCCTGCAAGTGGCACGGGATACGCCACAGCTACCCATTCGGTCCCGAACCCTGTGCATCCTCGAGACTCCCACGCCCACGCCATGAGTTCGAAGCGCAGAGCCTGGTGCGGAGGACCAAGTGAACGCGAACCATTTGGTGTGTCAGTTGTTCATGGAAGGCCTGGTGACGGTCGGATGCGGCTGGTGGAGCGAAAACACCACCGCCTGGAATGGTGCGACACGGATCGAATCGATCGAATTGCCACCATTGACCATCATAGCACGTGTTGGCACGTGTTGTTGTTCTTTGTTCGATGTGTGTGTCGTTTAACATTTACGCGACTCGATCATGTCTAATCCGTATGTTGAAATGCGATATGTGAAAAATCCCGTTTGCACCTATCCAGGAGATGGGTGTGGATATATCCTGATATATCCCTGGGGGTGACACGGTGACACATCCCTTTTTGAAAAGACCAACCGGATGAAACAGGTCGATATCCTCAGGTTCGGTGGTGAGACCCCCCCTGGCACCCACCCTAACCACCGAACGGCCGGGAGCCATCGGGTTCCAAGAAAACGGGCGGAAGAGTCAGAGGAGTCCTTCTCCGCTCGGAACACGTCGGAACATCGAATTCAGACGGAGACCGAAGCCCGACGCGGAACGCCGTTCGGCCGCAGCCGCACGCCTTTGGCTCGCTGTTGTGTTTGATCCCCGCGGCGCACCGGTTTGGTCGCCCGTTTTGGGGATCGCAGGCTTCAATGAAGCGGGAGAACAGGTGAATGCTCACAGTGCCTGGGAGTGGCGGAGTTTTCCAAGTTTTAGTGCCCAGACGCTTCAAACAGCTCTTGGTCCCTCAAAACCCGAGGGATTTGAAGGTCCGGACCCCTACTGAACGGAGGGTCCAGGGTCGCGTTTGGGTAATCGACATCTTCCAAATCAGACATGGAGGGCCGACACAATCCATGGGGCCCAGGAGGCCATGTCCATGCCAAGACTTGATCAAACGAACGCATGTTATGATGTGTTGCTTGTTTCTCGATTTGTTCCCCAGGTGATCCACTCAGGGAGGTGTCCTTCTCTGAAAACTCCGAATCGCCCGGAAGGGTCGGGTCGACCCGTCAGCTTGAGCCGGGCCGGGCCGGCTGTTGGGTGTTTGTGCTGGAGCTTCCAACAGTTTTGACCACCCCTGAGTTAACCGCTAAGGAGTTGTTGAACAGAAAATGCTTGGGAGGGGTTTGGGTAATTAGGTGGCTCGAACAGGGTGGTTTTGGGACTCCCCTTCACCTTTAAGGAGTTGTTTTTTGGGGGACACCCCTGCCTGGGAGGGTCCTGGTAGAAACTGGAGGCTTGAGGCTGTCGCCACTCAGATCGTAGAGGTTTAATGGAGGAGGTCCAGTGGCAAGATCCTGGAGCTGTAGCTTTCGGCAGGCACCAGTTGGAGAGAAAGAAGGGCATGAAAGGGCATTCAGAAGGGGAGTGTTGCATGATGCAGGATGCCTCAGGATGCAGGATGCAGGAATGATTTATCTGACCATTTCGGACCGGGTTTCCAGTACTTGCTGAGTGATTCGCTGCTTTCAGCCCAGGTACCATGGAGGAGGACAAGGGTGAAGCCTTGCCCGGCGTGTCCCATCGCTTCATCATCTGCCGCACCTGGACCTTGGCAGACTTCGAGTTGATGTACGCGCCGCTCGAAAGAGACCGGTATTGGATGGGTTGGCCGAAAGGAGGGGTTCAACGGAGCTTGGAGACGATCAAGATCTTGGACTTCGTTGGATCCACTCGAAAATACCTAGACCGCCCAAAGAAAATTCATCTTCACAGGATTGAGTCATTCCTCGTCTACTTGGTGTCACATCCTATGAATTCAACACAGGTGTTTGTTTTTCCCCCCAAGGTGCCTAGACTAGCGCCATTGCTTCTCATCCCACTCCTTCACCGCCCTACGGCCCACGAGAGGTCGCGTGCCGGCGTGGCGTCTCGCGCCTAGGTCCTTCTGCCGCATGAACAGCATGGAGATGGAGCGTGTGACAGAATCAGCGCTCCAGGAGCGTGACGATTTGGGTTGGTCCCATGACCCATCACAGTCGGTCGGGTTTCACCAGCAAATCACGAGTTTAGAGATGGAACAAAACAACCGCAACCTAAACATCATCATCCACTCTTGCTGGTAACGGGACATACTTCCCCGCAAACTAACATAGAACCCGAGAATTGACCTGTTGAAGACCATTTTCCTCTACAACCCGACGTGGTTTTGGGGTTCCATGTGGTCCTCTGCAGGGGAGTAATTACCCTACTCAACATATAGACTTGGAGAGAATTCAATTGCAGTTCAGCTCTGCTTTGGAAATTTATGCATCCATGGCAAGTGTTTTCAGATTGACACTTGCAATCTTTACGAATGCGAATTTGAATGTGTATCCGTGCCATTTTCAGTTCATAGAACTGAGTCTTAACTCAGCTTAGCGGCGCTTAAGCGATGAGGTAGCGTTTTGGTGCTACTGATTCGCGCATGTCGACAGGTGCACTCGTGCGCTCAGGCCCTAGGATCCGGCTGAGGAAAAGACTCTGGTGCTGCAGACCGTGAGTGTCATTGCTTCCAACATCTCTCATTGTGTTTTGACGTGCTTACCGGGACCAAACATCCTACGGCGGCACGTTGTCACAGCCTACATATTCTACATATTCAACCTACATATTTGCCTACAGATTGGCCTTCATATTGATTTGCTTCCATATTCTCCACAAATTTCCGCTTTTCATATCAAAATTTGATTTTGCAGATGAGAAGAAATTTGTCAGCCTTGCACAGGCTACAAGAAGTTTTGGGCGATGCTGCCGTGTCAGATCAACGTGCTTTTTCGGCGCTTTGTGATGCTTTGAACGCATGCCTTGAATCCTGCTATGTGCGTGATGACTCCAACGTATTCATTTGGGCAGATGCTTTAAATGCGTTGCACCTGATGGCTCGGTTTTTCTCTTTGCACGCGATTTCTTCCATTCTACTCTTGTTGGTGACGACTGTTTCATGCATGTGTGGACTTAGTCAGTGCAATTTGAAGAGCTTCTTAGATGATACAGGCACAATTTTGGTTTTGGGGCGACAATTCATGGGGGAGAGGCATCACATACTACGTTTCAGAGCGCCAGGGCCGCATATTCATATTCTTTGGCTTCTTCATTGTATTGCAGCGTCGCGTGGACTTGATTTCATTCCAATATAACGCCGGGAAGCGTAGGCACAAACACGCTTGCAAGAAAATAAGCTGCTTTCCACCCACCATACAAGATGTTTTGCGGGACACTGGTTCTGCACATGAAAAGGCCCGAGTTCTTTGCACCTTCTTGTCTATGCAATTCATCGTTGGTTATTCAGCTGTGAGCATCAATATGTGCAGTATTTATTGCATCATTGGTCGATCGGCTACTTATGTTGGGAAATCAGAGCATGAGCGGGCAGGTGTCGTTGGAGCTCCCTCGGCCAGAGGTATTGAACACTTGTATGACATATTTTTTCACAACCGTGATGGTCGGTGTGAAAATCGGAAGGCACGAGCATTCAAACATGAGACCTTGGCATGAGACCTTGGCCGACTTTTCCCAGTACTATCTGTTCAGTGTTCCCACAGATCGCGCTGATGTCTCTGAGAAGCTAATCATTCGTGTTTCTTGTGCTAGTGCAAACACAGCCCATGCAGCTCATCGTACCCCAAATCATAAGAAACGCCTACGACCGCGAAAAAATCACGACAAGCATACCATGCATTTGGTTGCACTGTTGATAGGCGATGGTTTTTTGCTGAGAACCCACATGAATATGTTGAAGCTTTGGCCCCTAGAACCGCACTCAACATGCCTTTTCGATTGCTGTACATGAAGCAGCTTCAGATGAGACGAGCTATTGGACCGCTTTCCATTTTTCTTTGCCCTCTATTGTTTGTTGCATTTCTTTCCCGACCAAAGCATGCCTTTGACTTTGCGGAACTCACTCAGCGTGTTGCGCGCAACCTTTTGTTTCATGCTGCCCAAGTTGTTGGCGTGATTCACTCTCAACTGTTTCGATCAGTAGCTGTTGCTCGCTTGAATAGGTTGCTCGAATTTTTTTGGGGAGACTCGAGTTGGCACTTTTGTGTGGAAAGTTCCCTGGCCTGTTGCTACATGCGATGTTTGGCAGGTTTTGAACCACCATTGGCGTTCAATTGGATCGGGCTCTCGGTTGCGCTTCAAACATGTTATTAGCATGGTGTCATTGGTTCCAGATGCTGCGGTCACTTACAAGAGGTGGTTTAACATGGTCAGAGTGGCTCGCAACATGGATGGTAAGAAATGGTTGGGGTTTGATCGTGCGGAGAAATTGAGTGCTTGGAATGGAAAATTCTTTCGTCAGCTCAAGCTGTTTCATAAGATGCGACAGCCAATTGTTGCTGGACAGCTGTGGCAACAGATGTCTGATGATATGAAGAAATTTGGCATGTTTGCAAAGTGCTCCCCTTTGGGGGTCTTTGAGCTGGTTTTGAATGATTTGTATTCCCGTTGTGCTCAGCTGACTTGCAGTGCGTTGGCTTCTTTTCAATATCATGACCGAAAGATGCATGATGCATTTGTGCAACCTTCATTGGATGAAGTGCTGGTTGCAGAAGATAAAGATCCATCGGCTGCTTGGCTCATTCCCATCCGTGACTATTGCCTTAGCGTCATTTTCCTGCTTGAAAAAGAGGCCTCCAAATGGGAGCTGACTGGTTTGAGTCTTGAAGATGCGTGGCAATTCAAAAAAGCTTGTTTTGATAGCGTGGCTTGCGTGGGATTTGGTCCTCGCTGGCGGCCAACTGTGGTGCCGGGCAGCTTGCCGTACATGTATGCAACTGTTAAAGCAAAATGCTTTGTGACTGGACGACGAACATGCTGCAATGAGACACACAGTTGTATGAGAAAGATTGTTAGCTACAGTCTGATGGAACGTAGTTGGAAAAATCTGTTCCGAAAAGTTTCCCGAGCTACCATGATATTGATTATCAAGCTTGGTCTGGGGGATGAAGTCACTTCATTGTCCACTGCTGCTACCATGCTTCGTCGGCGTTTCCAACATATTGTCCACCCTGTGGCTCCCTTGCTGCAATGCACCAATTGTTCTTCAGAGAAACACGCTATCGAAGTCGCTGTTGCTGATGCTGGCGCCATGTACGAAGCAATTGATTCTGGATTGGTGCTGACCTGCTTGGATTTCTACATTGGTCTGGCTAAGGATGCAGGGTATATTGTTGTAGCCGTGCTGAAAACTCGCAAGCTACATGGTTTTCTGGCAAAACACAACTTCCACAAGCACAACAACGTAGATCTACTGACCTTTGAGCAGCTCCGTTCTATTCACATGTTGAGTTTGAGCCAAAAATTCGTATCTGTTGGTAACCTTGTGTATAGGCAGCTGCGCGGTGTTCCCATAGGTGGTCTACTCAGTAAATGCCAGACTTCACTTGTACTTTGCGCTGAAGAGTATGCCTGGGAATACAGCAATCACCGACAGGTACAGTTTGGCTTGGATGCATCTCTTTTGTGGCGTCGTCAAGTTGCTGCTTGCAGATACGTAGATGACTGTTGTCTTATCAGCCCATATCTGTGCTCTCAATGCCTTTTCCAAAGTCTTTGTCAGAAGTCATGCGTGCAGTATGAACGTCAGAATAGCTCTGCTTCCTGTGGAACATGGTTGGATATGGATGTTCATTTTCAAGGTGTTGAATTACTGCTGACGATGCAAAAACCTGAAGAACAGTGGATTGCTGGTACTTCCTCGCACCCCAAGAAGTTTCGTCTTGAACCCTTTCACGGTTTAGAAGTTCAAAACGCAAAGGCTAGAATCTTGGGTACGCAGGCGAGGCTGATGCAAATCTATTTGGATGGAAAAAGGAAATGTTTGCAATAATAATGTTGATGGTCTGGCCGACGCAATTTTCTATTGTATGAATATATGGCAGAGAAGTGGATTCTCTACGAGCTATGTGCGCCGCACCTGGGTCAGACATCTCTCTAATCCCATGTTTGCGCGGATTGCTGACGCTTGGCGCGATTGAATTTCGAAGTTTTATTTGATGCACTTCTCTGGTTTTGGTTTGCTTGGTTCTTCTGGGTATTTGATTAATTTCACTATATTGGTTCAAGCCTGACCTTGTAGCAAGCACAAGCCGGCCCATTTGCTAGTCATGTCCGGCTACCAGTGGCGTGGATACGGCTCCTCTTGGAATCATCGTGGTGGTGGCGGCCGCTTCGGCTCATTCACCAACTATGGGAAATCTGCAGGGAAAGGAAATGGGAAAAGCACCAGCTTGCCATCATTGCTCAATCAGCTTCAAAGTGAGATTGCTGCTCAGCAACAGTTGCAGGCCATTGCTTCGGTGTTGACCCCCGTTGCTGGTATGAACACGCCGGCTCTCTCACACCAGTGTGCTGAGCCAGCTCCTGCTCAGGATGCCAGCTTCAAGCTCCTCCATGATGAGATTGCATCTCTTCGGGCAGAGATGACCAAATCTCAGCCACCTCAGGCAACTCAGATTGAGGCCGATGCAGCGCAACTCCTCTCCGAGCTTCGAAAAGAGGTCTTGCAGCGTCGCTCCCAAGATCAGCCGTCGCAGGTGAGTACCAAGAGTGAGATCCAATGCCATTTGGCTGAGCAACTCCAAAGCATGCGAGAAGAGCTTGCCACCATGAAAGCTCAGCAGGCTGTCCCGCCTTCCTCCAAGCGGAAGAGGCCTTCCACGCCTTGTGCACCAAACAGCGCTGGAGATGCTTCCAATGTGACGAAGGTTGAGCATAGAGAGTTCTTCTCCTCCGTCTTCGGCAAGAGGTCAGTTCTTTGCAAAGTTGCATCTATGCCCCTCTCCGAGTGGGCTGCAGTCCAAGCTGCAAAGTTGAGCCAGAGTGACTTCGACTCCATGGTGGCCAAGTTTGAGCCGCAGATGGAGCCTGAGGACGAGGCCGATGAAGGCGTTCTCAAAGCCTGCTTCCTCTTATGGAAGCTTGATCGTGGCGCGGCTTCTTCGGTACCAGCCCGTACGCCGGGTGCCTGACTCCCTAGCCCTTGCATGGGCCAGCTACAACTGTGGTTGAGATGGACATTGCCTTGGTTGCTCTGGGCAGTGCTTCTGGGTCTCCAATTGTTTGGTTTCCTTTGCCTTTGCATCACTGTGGGCGTAGCTTTGGGTGGCTTTGCCTTCCTTTCTTTGGCATTAGAAATCTGCAAAGAGCTTTTCCATGGACCCAACTATATCTCAGCTGACGACAGTGGCTGGTCTGAAGATGAAGTGGAGGTTCCTCCCAGACCCGATCAGTCTGTGGTTGAAGAGCTGCCCATGCCACCGATGCCCATGTATATGGGTGATGTTCTCATGCCACAACTGTATACCGTACTTGTTTGGTATTTTTCAAGAGGTCAAGTAATGATGCTTGAACACTAGCTTTTGCCCACCCTACAACATTTAAAAAAAAGGGGGTAATTCAATTGCAGTTCAGCTCTGCTTTGGAAATTTATGCATCCATGGCAAGTGTTTTCAGATTGACACTTGCAATCTTTACGAATGCGAATTTGAATGTGTATCCGTGCCATTTTCAGTTCATAGAACTGAGTCTTAACTCAGCTTAGCGGCGCTTAAGCGATGAGGTAGCGTTTTGGTGCTACTGATTCGCGCATGTCGACAGGTGCACTCGTGCGCTCAGGCCCTAGGATCCGGCTGAGGAAAAGACTCTGGTGCTGCAGACCGTGAGTGTCATTGCTTCCAACATCTCTCATCATATAGACTCTTGGGAGATACTGTAAGCCCCCTGAGGGCCGAGGCTTTATGGGTTATTCGTCCAAGAGTCCACATTCTTGGGGGGTTGATGGTTAATAGCTTCCAAGAACATTAGGTCGATTGATTCAATCGTCCGGTAGAAACACCGGGGGTGCCAGGCCGCTGATCCAAGGTGATTCTGGTTGATGAAGTCTTGTTTCGAGCTTCGCCAAATCCACGCACTCTTTGTTTGTAAGGGGGGGCTCGCAGCTAGTCCACTGGTTCGCTTCAACCACTCTCAGAAGGACTTACGACCTGGGCATATGCCACTGCAACTCCTGGGGAGCTTCTGTAAGCTACCCAGTCAGTGGCTAACCTTCAACATCCTTCAACCTTTTCTGCAGCGTTCGGGTTTTCTCCCCTCAGTGCATCCACCGGTGGAAAAGCTCGGCTTCCCCTTTTGGTCTTCCCCCAGGTGTCCTCGGCTTCCCTCGGCTTCAGGAGTATGGCATGGTCCTTGCACGAGAGCAGCTCAAGGCGAGCGAGCGTGGCGAGCTCTCGGTCCATCGACCCCGCCACAGGGGAGCTGAGACAGGTGTTCGAGCCCTTTTGCCAGGGCGGATAGAACGGCTTGGTTGCCCCTATCATGGGCCAGCGTGAAGGAACTGAACTTGGCTCCCTAATCCTGTCTGATATGATCATAAGTCTATATAGGAATAGAGTCTATACTATAAGTGCTCATGTAGCTGATGTACCTCAGGAATCTTCAGGCAAATGCTATAGCATGATATATATATATATATATACTGTATCTAGTACTGTATATGGTCTATCCAGTCCTTGGAGGATCACCGCACGTAGACCCCGAGGCAACCTCCGTACCGTACCTCCGCCTCGGCGCTCCAGGTGGTGAAAGGACTGCGGAAGCCGCTGCTCTTTGAACAGGTGGCGGATGAGGAGGTCATCGATTGCCCTGGATTGACGCTTGGATGATGGTTGCACTTCCTGTCTGGGTGCCCTGTGTGGAGACCTATATACTATACACTCTGACTCACTAACATGGTTTCTAGAGGATTTCATGGTCTTCACTGGGCCCATGCCATCCACTTCCATGTTAGTGAGTCAGAGTGTGCGTCTAAGTAGGGTAATGTAGTCTCTTGATTACCCACCGCACCCAGTTGAATTGGACATCCTCTTTATATGGGAGTCTCATTAATCAAGAGTCTACATTAGGGTGGTTGAGCCAAATGACTCGTTGGAAGCAGGTGGTGGATGGTGTTTTTGGAGCTGAGCTTCGCGGCTTCGCCGAGACGCTCAAGACTCAAGACGCGGGACGCTCGCGTGCCCTAATTGGAGGTCGCTAGCCGTGCGGGAGCTCGCGGCGTGGAGTGCAACAATTTTCTGGACGAATGGTATAAATGGATTGGTTTTTCAAGTGGGGTTTTACTATACTCAATGAGGATCATTTGTGAGGCAGGCCAGGGAATGGTTTGGATTGGGAATCTGATGATTGCATATGATTGCTACCTCTTGGAGAAGCCCACATGAACTTGAGTCGTTGATGTAGACTGTAAAAAGGGCACACGCCGCGTGCGGCTGATTCTTTTGTCCGGTCTCCCACAAGTGCTACCTGTTCGTCCCCCCAAAAGCACGCAGGGCACCGAGCAACGGCGGTTCGTGCGCCGGATGTCACGGGTGCGTGTGTCCGTGCTCCGCCAAGAGAAGTTCGCCCACTGAAGTCCCCCAACTCCGATAGTTTTTCACTACCTCGGGTCCTTCAACCTCTGGGCACACTGCAGTCCCCAACTGGGATCGTTTTTTACTGCCTCTGGGGTCCCACTGGATAGCCCACTGGAGTCCCACTGGGTAGCCCCCTGGGCGCGAAAGGATCATGGTGGCAGACCAGAATATCTCCGCTCGCTCGGCTCTGGGGCCCAACATCGATATCACTGGCGGCGGATCGGATGCTGGCGGCAGCCGCCAGACGTGAAAACACCGTGGGGATGAGAGCAGCGGGGAGAGCAGTGGGGTGTCCGGGAGTGATCACTAAGTGGTACAAAGAGGGACCACCTGGAATATGGTAGTTTCGGAGTAGATGGCATTGGCAAAACCTGGCAACCGTTACCCAACATGTGTTGTGTGTTTTTTTTGTCGGGGGGGACTGGCGGTCCGTATAAACCACTACAAACCACCAAACTTGGGGATCGTGCCATATATTTACCCCCTATACAGTAAATACTTTTCTCCCAGAAATCACCGGAGAGGCTCCGCTTGAAGAAGCTTGGGTGGTTCAATTTGATTCCACACATTTATGGTGGCAGTTGGCCGCAAATGTGTGATCCTCGTAACGTTGACATCCCAGCTTTATTTTAGTATCGACAGGCATGGTCCTTGTTATTGGGCATCTAAGCAGTGTATTGGGTCCAGTTTCGGGAGTCCTGCTGTCCACTTTTTTCAGAGACCAATGTTTGGAAAAACACCTTAAGTCAGTTGGTTGGATTTCTCGTGTTGAAGGGGATTGGGATTTCGGAATCAATTGGCTCCATTAAGCTATGCTCCGATTCTATAGTCTAGAGGCTGCTCATGGCTGCACCGTTCTTTTCACTCATGCATGATTCTGCTGATGTCTTTTGTTAATGTGGATAACCATGATTTGCATCTACTACCACACTGCCACGACTACCCTACCCTAATTCCAAAGGGAATACTGGTAGCCATTCTTTTACTGTAAACATCCGTTTGATCCGGTGATGAACCGCGGAGAGGCATCATGCAAGCTGCAAGTGCAAGGGCAACCATGTGTTTTTTTCTAATTATGATTGTCACACCAGGATTGTCAAATGTTTTTGGACCGTGCAATTGAACATTTGGACCATAAGTTTTGTTTGGGACTTTTGGGACCCAAGTGTGCCGTAGAGCTACCAGCTTTGGGTCATATAAGTGAGCCTCACGAGCCACACATGCAATCAAAAAACAGCTGCAGACCAGCAAGATAAGTCCCCTTCGACCTTGTTGTGACATTCTATTTGCGGCACCCACATCCTCCCTCCAACATCCAAACCTACAGCCCAAACCCATTCCATTTCTCCACAGTACCCAACACATCCCAATATAACACATCCATGTTGCCCACCCTGCTTGCAAGCCAACAAAGACCCTCACCAAGATCTGGTTTGCCCGGTCCACCCAACCTGCACGTGCCGCCACGGGCCTGCACGGCAGAGGCATTCTGCGGACCTTGTCTTCGGGCAAGACGCCCCTGCTGAGCACGGCCTCGCCTCCCGGAAGGAGCTCCGCGGAGGAAGGACGAAGGAAGCAACCCACATGGAGGAAAGAAAGGGGGTTATCTTAGATTATCCTTTTTTGGTTATCCTTTTTGATCATGATTCCCTTCCCTGAAGACGAAATAGTTACTGTACCCTCCCTCCAACCTGGAAGCTGAAAAAGAAACACTTTGGGAGGAGCATCTTCCACTACCCAGAAACCACCAGTGCCGTCACCCAGGAGCGCCGGGACCAAGGCCGGGCCGAACCAGGCGCGGTTCGGCTCTAGAGCCGGTCCGGTCCATGTGGATGCATGGCGTGGGAAGCCCAGAAAATTCGGAGGTTTTGGGAGCAAAATGATACAAAGGATCCCATGGAACCTGAGAAAGACCGGTGGTTTCGACGCTCCGAGTTTCTGAATGATTACCAACCCAGGGACCCATAGGGGATCAACTGGGTTCCATGTTGATCCCCTTAGGGGAGTGCTTGACAATGTCGTTGTGTGATGGTCTTGTGCCATTTGCTCTGAATGTCCTCAGTCATGGTTAAGTTAGTCAGTCGCTCGTCGGATTGCCCCTTGTTGTCACACGTCACAACATGTCGGCACATGCTCAATGGTTCAATCAGCCTGCTACTTACTTCATCTTACAAAGGCCCACCCCAATCGAGGATAGCCTGTACGGTTCTTAAGCTTTGTTGGTTGGCCGCAGGCTGGCTTCACTGGCAATTGGCTGTGGATCAAAATCCTGAGCCCCAAAGCAGGGTAAGTTGACCTCCCAAGTTACGTCGGTAGGTCAAGCAAGCAAGTCCGGGTGCCATGACCTACAGTCAGTTGACTGGCTTTGAACGGTGGACCTCGGATTGGCCGCCGGCCATTGGGTGCGTGAGTGAACATCATTCGAAAGCATGAAGCCTATAGCAGGACCCCAGTCAGGTCCCCCTAAAGGGGTGTCGAATTATGGCTGCTTAGAGGTTAAGGGGTATCCATTAACCACCCCTTTAAAGGGTCCAGGTAGTTATTTGATATTATTCGGTGTTGCTGCGGGATGTCTTGTGAAGTCAACCTGAACCACTACCTGACCCCAGAGTCTCTACAGGAATCGATGGTTCCTTCCTTTTCGTGTTCGCCAAGACGAGTTTCTCCATCAAACGTCCTTCGAGAAGCGCAGGTCATCGAGAAGCGAGCAGCTTGGCGCCGGAGGAACGAAAACTGCTTGGAATCGAAACCTCAACCCGGTGAAGTTGGCTGAAGCCCGAAGCCCCCAGAAACCCCGGGTACCCGACTCACTCACATGGTCACATGGAGCTACGCTGAACCGCCAAGCCACTGCAGCACCGCTGGGGCGCCAAGGAATACCGTTCGACCTTCCAAAGTGTCGGCTTCCTCGAGAGCCTTGGTGGGGAGAGCTGGAGGAGGGACGGACGGAGGGACGGAGAGAGCTGAAGAACCAGCAGAACGGAGACCTATATGGCTGTAGGTCAAGACAAGGATGACTTCGTTGACCTACCTGGAAGGTCAAGCTCATTACAGCTCCAGGGGTTTTGACCCATCCCCATCTTGTGGGCTCCACTGAGATTGTGAGCTCCTACGGTTGACAACAGTACTGTAACTTGCAAAGCTTTCCATTTGCGTGGGATTGGAGGCTGAGCGTTCCAGAGCGTTCCAGCGCACTTACGTGCGTCAATGTACTTGCTTCGGCTGGAACGTGTAAATAGGAGGTTCTCGGATCGTTCTGGGTTCAAATAACTCCCTATAGGGAGTTTGCCAAGGTGTCGTTCTTGTTCCACTGTTGGACATCTATGGGCCATCCTGACATAGATAGAATGTTTCCACACGCTGAATGCACATATCGCTTCAGATGAGCATCAGATGTTCACATGCCGCATTCTACACCAGTTGCCACCGTTCGGGGGTCACCAATTGACAACCCTATACACCACTTATTTCAGTCCTATTATTGGATGACTTGTGATAGAATCAGACGATCTAATATGGGACCATACCTAGACGTGCTTGGTTCCATGGACTCGGATGAAGCTTGGACATGGAGTCTCGTGCCCCGAGGAACGCTTGGCCACGTTACCCGCACGCTTTGGACATGGCCTACGGCACTGGATGGATGCCCAGCTTCTTGCGGCTCGGTGTTCGACCAAGATCCTCAGAGTCTGGTCATCTTGGAGGGTTTAGCTTCTTTCTAATTGAGACTCCCTGAACTAATCATGGATGAAGTAGAACATCGACTTCCCCCCGGAAGACCAAATTGAACTCAAAGGAAGTAGTTGTTCACGCCCAATAGTATTTTTGAGTGTATGTTCTCCTCTTATCTCCTCTTATTTTATTCATCATATTATATTAAGTGATTACCTGACAGGTTCCGGAAACGGCTCGTCTGCCAGGGCCTTGCGATCACTGCCCTCCCAACAGGTCGGACCATCGAACCCTCGAACCCTGCGGTGATTCCGAGGCTTCTCAATTCCTTCTACCCCGTGGACAACATCCTCAACGTGATCAAAGCAGGCGCGGCATATATACCTTGAGGGTGTCCTCTTACCTATAATGAGTCAGTCAACACGTATCACTATGGAAAAGAGATGGAAAGGCCTGCAGCCTAACCATCATCATCCACTGGGCTCAGGGAATAGGATATACCGCGTCCAATCAAACACCAACATGTCGATCATGTCGACAATAGACCAGCAGGTCGGCTCAGACATGATGACATAAGACCTGAATGATTGAACGGTTCTCTCGTCAGATGACAATGTCCTGCAGTTCTTGTCCCCTCCAAAGAAACAACACCTACCTACCATCCATTTAGCCAAACAAAGAGATACGCTCATACACTCTCCCTCGCAATCTCGAATGCTTGTGCTTTCCCAGGTGACTGTTGTCAGTTCCTATCGCATGAGGGGGGCCACATGGGAAGCAAGCTTGGGAGAGAATCTTGCAACAAGATTCACAAGGCTATGACGGCTTCTACATTGGCCGCCTTCTACCATGGACCTGGTGGACTAGAGTCCGAAATGCAGCTTTTGCTGGTCCACAACCCTTGCTTATGCCAGTGAGGAAGTAACAACACACATCTCGTTACACCTCCAATTCTACCCCTAAGAATCCAAGTACCTTCTCAGAAGGCACTTGGACCCTCCAAACCCACCCCAAACACCTTCTGAGAAGGTACTTGGATCCCTAGGGTATGTGCTTGTTAGGGGGGCCTTGGGCAAGTCCAAGGATGCTTAGAGCCCTCCAGCACATTGATCATCCACAATCTGTTGCACTCGACTCGATATGAACTCCGTCCTGGCAGTTTCCTGTCCCAGACGCTCCATGCATGGAATATGTGCTTACTTGAATGGGGTCAGTTTGAGGGATCAATGTATGCACATATTAGACATACACACACATATATTAGTCCCATTGGCCCTGCTTATAGGAATCCTCCTCTACTAGGCACTCTACGATACTCCTGCCAAGATGTCTTCCTCCATCCCATCGATGTCGTCCCCTGGGTCATTTCGGTTCAGAATCACGTGTCCACGAATCGCGGTGAGAGGCGCCAATTGGCTGCAGCTGCCCGTGGCTTATCAGACCCTTCAGGTGGCTGGCGGCAGTCACGTACCATCGAGCGAGCGGATTCAGATGGTTTTTGGCACCTGTTTGGACCGCTGGTCGACCAGGAACCAACATAGAAAATTTGTTATATCGAAATGGATGTTCAAAAAAAAATGCTGATTGGTTGAAATTATTGGTTGTCTTTGTGATAGCCATGGTTGCTGGTTGGGCAGGGCACGGGCAGAGCTCCCTCTACAGATCCTTTTCATGCTGGGATTGTTCGTTGTGCGCCAACCAGCTTTGGAACAGAAAGTAGTCCCTTGAGTATATACACAGAATCTGATTTTGGCAGCGGTTTGCCGGAAGGAAAACACACCCGAACTCTATAAATTGGAGCTACCAGTGCTGCTGCTGCTACTACTACTACTACTACTGCTACTGCTACTGGTACTACTACTGCGACTGCTACTGCTACTACTACTACTACTACAACTACTACTACTACTACTACTTACACTACTACTTACTATCTACTATCTACTATCTACTTCTACTTCTAGCTCCTGCTGCTGTTGTTTCCCATGGCGCCCACCGTAACCTGCAGACCCTCCCCCTTCAGGGCCTCTGCCTTTCCTCAGGTGATTGGAGGACGGTCCTTCGCTCCTCGGGACGAAGGGAAGGGAAGGGACCTGACCTGAAGGGACCCTGCTGGGTCAGTCACCCTTCCGGAGGATGAAGCGAATGAGGTGGCTCCGCGTCGCCAGGGTGTTTCTTCTTGGTGGCTCCTTTGCTCGGGGGGGGGAGGTTCTTGAGGGTTTTGGAGGGTGTTTGTTTGGGGTTGGTGATGGTTGGTTGGTTCCAGGTGCGAGCCCTGCGAAGAGGTCGGGCTTCGTAGGATAATTAGGTTGTTATGTTGGATTTTTTCGCTCTCACAGTCCGAACGCTAGGGATCCAGTCGTACCTTCTCAGGTACGGCACCTGGACCCTCCTGGCACCCACCCCAGTCCCACCTTCTGAGAAGGCACGACTGGATCCTTAGGGGAAGACATTGGGTTACCTCAGCTTTGCTCCCGGGTAACATCTCAATCCCATTAAACATCATGGAGGAGGCTTACCACAGCTGATCACAGCTGTCACATGTGAAAACACTTGTTAACTGTTTCCAAATGAACTTTCCTGAGCCGCTGCAGGTTAATTCGTGTATACACTGGTGGTTTAATAGGGAGCCATTCGGAGCCTCTCCGGCATCCATCATATATCCATGCATCCATATATATCTCACCCGGGAGGAGGAACTTCCGCTCGGAGCGACTTCGACGTTCACCCAGAAAGGCCACACCGATCTGAGGCAGATGGCCTCTTGAACTTCGCCACGGCCCCGCTCTATGGCATTGTGCCCTACTGCTGCGAAGCCTTTTTGCCGCCCGGTGCTGGACGGGTCCACGATGCGGATTTGGACCCGGCGTTGGCCGAGGTGTTCAACTCAGCAACAAGGAAATGCCAAGAGATGCCAAGTGGATGGCACCGTTCCACTGAAAGGGGCGTAGAAAGGAGAAAAGCAGCTGGCTTAGGACTGAGCTATGAATCTATGATTTTTGGGACAAGGATTCCCAGAGGTATGACTTCTTGGTCGAAGGAGCAAACATCGACGGACGAAGACTCGCGTTTCCTCAGATGGCAAGACAGACGGGGTGCGAAGGGAACTCGCATGATGATGAGTGATGGGTAGGTCCTGGGGACGAGCAAAGTTGGCTGCAGACCCCATTGATGAACGATTATGGAGATAATAGTTATTGGCTGCAGACCCATTTAACGGAGGTAATAGTTACATGGGCAGAATGTAAGAACTTGTAAGACAAATTATAACGTTTTAAATATATATATACTATAATCATAATCCTTTCAAATCCTTGAAATTAGAATGATTGATATTTTAAGGAAGGCAGATCCAAATTGAAGGCAACTGTTTGGCACATGTTAGCACCCTCCACGTGCAGATGGCATGGGATGGCATGGGTGAACTGTGCTCAGCAGATGCGGAAGATGACGCAAATTGGAGGCTTTGGATCAGAGGTAGGGCCTTTTGGTCCTCTCCTGCTATGCCATTCATCTGGCCAATCGAATTCTCAGGTATTTGCTGCAGATGTTCTCCTTCCTCATCTTGCCCGGCATGCTGCTCCTCTTCGGCATGTGCTACGAATTCGTGGGCATGTTCTTTGCGGTGAACCCCGAGGAGACATCGACCGGACCTCGGTGGCTTTTCGGATCTCGAAAGAGTTTGGAGAACATCGGCACCCCTTGAGGTGGTTTCTATTTTAATTCTCCGGATACCTCAGGATACGATGGATTTGTCAATTTGAGGCTGTTGGTGTTTTTTCTTTGAGGTTTTGTTTGGGCTTGTTGTTATTTTGATTGGGTGGTGGTGGTGGTGGTGATTTTTGCGTGGTTGTGTTCGTGTTGAAACATGTTGATCATCAGCCTACTCATTTACATTGGGTCTGTCCCATTATCTGCAACAGCCAGTAAAATAAGTAAACAATTGTCACATATTGTCACTATTTTGAACAAGGCCTTTACTAAGCATCATCATCTACTGGGCCCTGGTAATACTCAACTATTCACGATGAAGGCCTTGAAGGAATATGAAGGAATTATGGATGGATGGGATTGCACTGACTTTAGCGGAATCACAAAAGAAAACCTCCCAGGCAACGACTGGACCCTGGAAGAAGAAGAAGAAGAAGAAGAAGAAGAAGGGAAAGTTGACCTTTCAATTCGCCACGGGCGTCCCATCACCTATCACTATCTTAGAGATGGAAGGGCCTGCAACCCTTACCCATCATCTATCCGCGCCCGAGACCCAATGACCTTCCTTTCAATTCCGTTGCGCCCGGAACGCCGAAACGCGCCACACCACCCAGACACCCAAACACCCAACCGGGAGCGTCCATGATGTTGGCGAAAGCGACCCGCTCCCGGCCCCTTGGGGAACCCGCCCCAGACCATGACCCCAAGACCCATCAGGCGGGATCGAGCCGATGTTGTCCTGCTGCTTCGGGGTTTGGGATCGTTAGGGGTCCGTCATGGGCACCCGGAGCCCCGGTCACTCACCAGGGTAGAGGTTGACCTGCCAGGCCTGCCAGGTAGTCGCCCTTTGGTTCATTCGCCTGGTGGGGGAAACTCCAGGCTGGCCATGACCGCCATGAGTCTTGTCACGTCCGAACCAGTTTTCTGACGTCTGACGTCACGTTTGACGTCACGTCCGCCGTATCTAGAGGAGTACTCCCTGGACTCTCGGACCACCTCGCACATCCCCGACATGATCTTCTCCGCGGTGGTCTCAGGCGCGGTGTCCTCCTCGTATCGCGCGCGAGTTTCACGCGCGGCTAGGCGAGCGTAGCGTGGGCGCGTCAGATGGTGGCCTATAAGGGGGGTTGGGCCCCAGCACTTCTGCACATTTCTGCACCCCTCCGCCCCATTTTGTTCATCTTTGTTCACCTCACTCATGGGTCCTTTCAAAAACCAATGCCCTCCACGCGCTGGGCGGGCGCTCTGTTGCACGGGTCGCGAAAGCCGCCCAGCTTCAGAGGCCCCCGCCTCTAAGGCCACTCAGTGGAGGATTGGATGAAGGGCCTCTCGAGCGTCTCCTTCGTGGCGCTCATTGGTAGCACCGTCACGGCCCCTTGGAGGGTCTCGAGACAATGGGAGTCCTGGAACCGCGGGAGACCACGGGAGGCAAGCGACCAGCGGCGGAACACGCGCGGAGTTGGGCGGTGCGCTAGTTGTTCCGGTTGAAAGAGGTTTTCAGGGTGTAGGACTTGTAGAGGGCGAATGCGAAAGCATCCCTTTTCGGACCATTTTTGGGCGTGTTGCAACGCTCTGGATCTTGAAAGACACAACCCTTTGGACCTGGGAAAGACAAGACAGACAAGCACAGAAGCATTTCTGAAACTGGGTCATACAACGTCATATGAAGCCCAGCACTGGAGTCGTGAAGCACTGGAGTACCATGGAGTACCGCAACAAGGCACCCTCCCATGTCATGAGCGTTCTCGAGGTCCCAGACGGTCCGGACAAGGCGTCTCGGCGGTGTGGAGTAACTCAGCAGCCACTTCGGCCGCCGGCCGAGGCGAACTTGATGATCTATCTGATTTGTGAGTCTAACTTCTTGAGGACTGACCAACTCCAACATGTCCAAATCTGATGAAGGGATGGACTGAAAACACGAGAGACGTCAGCTGGGCGATCAGGAACTGGCGTCACTTAGTGCAGGAAATGAGAAACTATAGCCTTAGTGCAGAATGAGAGTGAAAAAGGCAGGCCTGTCTTCTTCGGAGCAGGAAGTATGCATTTATGTTACTGTATGCCATTTGTTGATGCATTGTTCAACTATGTTTGACTCACCTTGCCACAGGTTATTTATTAGCTGTTCTAACTATAGCGCGGAATAGCACGGGCATGGAGCACATTCACGTTGCCCTTTGAAGACATAGGGTGGACTATGTCTAGCAGAGATGACAGGCTGAGGCGAAGTGCATCGAATAAGGCCAGGTCCATCGAACAAGGCCAGGACAGGCTGCCCCGTCGCATCTTAGATCTCGATCGAGAGATGGCCCGACAGGAACTTGCCTCCACCAGGCATCCAACACGCGGTTCACCAGCCTCTTGTCGGATATGAGTGCATCTTCAGATGAAGGTTCATCCGACGAGGTCGGTTCAATCCGAAAGACTCAAATACCTGGAAGGCTTCCCCCCATTGGCTCTAACTGCTAGCTGCGAGCCGTTTCGGGATGGACGGCGAGAGGGTGGCCTACAATCCGAGACCGTTCGAACTGAAGCGAGTTCCCCTCACCCCGGCACAGGATTTGCCCATCAACCGGGTGTTTTTGGAGATACTCTTTCGCAAGAAGCCAAGGCCTCATGGCCGGGTCGGTATACCACCCGAAGTCACAAGAAGTCAACAGGGGCTTCGCTTCCCAGTCGACCGAGATCGAAGCCGCTGAACGTTCACTCTTGATTGGCAAGCCCTATCTAGAGAGTTGTGGTATAATCTCCATAGTTATCTCCATATACAGTTGGTTTCAGAGTAGATGGCACAGACCTCGGTTCATCTAAACCACCTCAACAGAGGTCTGTGCCATCTAATCCACTATATATATATATATCTCCCATCTTCCATCCGTGGGGCCTTTTCTTGTCACATCTCGACTGCGACTCGGTCCCCCCGAAGCGTCTGGACCGTGTCCCATGGGGACCGAGTCTCCGCCGTCCACGGCCGAAACCCACGGAGGCAGCTGGAGAGAAGCTGCTGCTTCTAGAGACCAGACCTAAGTAATGCAAATTGGACTATATACATATATCACTACATATATCTATTAAATAGTCGATTCATAATAATTCATACGTACATGTTTGTAATTCTATTCAATAGTCGACGAAAATCATTATAATTCATAACGTACATGTATAGTGGGTATCTAGAACATCTAGTTGTCTCAATATCTACATATGTCTCAGACAAGCAGCGACAGTGGGCGGATGTTTAGCTGTATTTCGGGCGTGGTTTATTGATTCGTAGCCCAGACACGACACATGGGACTGCCATATGCCGCCCCATTGACCCCTCCAACCACCCCAATGTAGGCAAATATGGCATACATGGAGCGTCTGGGTAGGTGGACCTTGCGTAACATTCTGGAGCCTCGATTGGTCGACCAAAGGTGGGTTTACCATGAATGTGGAACGCCATTCCCATGCACACACAGCATCAGAAAGCCGTGAAATCCTGTTTTGGGGTTGTCCCATGTTCTTCCAGTATTCCATAGGATACCAGTACACTAAGCCAATTGATTAGCCCCCTGTCTCTGAGTGTTTCCCTGTCGGCCTGCGTGGCCGTCGTGTCACTTGTGTGAGTCGTCTCCTGCGGTTCTGAGGCTTGTGAATGCCATGGGGAACATGCTGGCAGCTTGGATTTCTCCAATGCCCAGACATGCCCAGACACTCACTCAATGTATGGAATATACCATTTGACCCCTCACCCCCCGCAACGCCTCGCAAAGTATATCTATGCCATACATGGAGTGTCTTGCGGTGATTTGCGGTGGTTGTTTTCTGTTTTAAGATTTTTAAGTTGACAGCACCATTCACCACGTTTCAGCTGTTTATGGTGTGTTTGTGCAGCGTTTTGGAAATCCCTGTTCTTCGCTCACTTTCTAATTTGGTACGCTGTCACAACTCAGTGTATCAATAGTCGTAGTGCTTGATACTTCTGTGGCTTTGCTATTGAAATGCTTTTTGTTGTCGACTCAGTACCGTCGATTCATTCTATGCCGTTTGCCCTCTCAAAGGATCTACCTGCATGGGATTTATCCCGGCACTGTTTGTACGGGAACGTCATCAACCATGTGAGGGCCATGTCCATCCGAGCAAGACCAAGCACTTGGTGATCGTGAGCACGGTCATTGCAAGGATTCCCATACTTTGCGTTTTATCTTCAACAATTCAATCGGTACCGTGCTCGCATGTGGGAGGTTCACACTCCCTGGAAAAATCACGGCAGTTGAACACCACCATACACCACCAGTTTGTATAGAGGAAAATGGTCATCCAAGGGGCCATGCCATCCACTTCCATGATTATTTCGGGGAGTGTACAGTATGTTCTTGGATGAATTCAGGGATTCCCAAGGAGGTTAAGTTTTTGGGCCTGTGAGAACTAGGACTGTCGTGTGAAGTATGGAGGGTCGAAAAGTCAGAGGATGTCAGACCAGCAGCGCATCCAAGGTGAGCAGCTATGTTTGGGTGATCTTAAGCTTCGCCATCTCCAGCGCCTTGGCCGCTTCAGTCCTACCAGGACTCTCAAAAGGGAAGCTCGACTTGCGGGGCTGGATGAAACGGCACGCTCAGCTGGAGGAGAGTGGGTCCTCCAAAGCACATGCCAGCACTGCCCTGTCGGGGTCACCAATGGAAGGCCCTACACCACTTGGGGATCTCCGTTGCACACCCCTGGAAAGGTCTATAGGTGTTTATGGTGCGGGTCCAGCATTGGTAGCAAACCCCCACCTACAAACTCGACCAGGTCCTACGGCCGCCTGCGGCCCTGCGGTGGAGTCCTGTTCGTTGCAAACTGCCCAGTTGCTGCCCGCATGTCGAGGCATCCTGTGGTTTGCCATGGTGGTTGTGATCTACCCAGAGCAGGCCTGTCCATTTGTCGCGTGGGCGCGCGCGAGACGTGGTGCGTTTGCGTTTGCGATGTGTGAAAGATGGCGGAGTGTTTCCCAGAATGTCTTTCCAACCAGCAGCAAGCAACATGCCAGAGTGTCAACTTACGCGTGATAGTTTTTTCTTTTCAAAAGGAGATGCAGGGTGGGCCTCCGTGCCCAGATGTGCCTAGCATGGCTGTGGGACGAGATGGCTGTGTTTCTGGATCACAAGCACACACGGGCAGATGCATGACGTAGTATATGTCGTGTCTCTCAATATGCTTGGGCAACTTCTTTTATAGTTTTTTCAGGAAGTCCTGAGATCTTCGGAGGAAGTAGTGAACGTGGAGGAACATCGCCCCCCAAAAAAGCTGATCAATGTACCAAAAAACATTAAGATTCTGTTGATAGGTTCCAACCCTTTAAAGCCATATGGTCCAAATTATAAGCATGACCTTCCAAAGTTGGGGAAGGTGTTCCTTTTCCAGTTCACCCGGTTCACGGGAAAAAAGTCACAGGTCGGTCGACGTCGCGGTCGACGACGCGGTCGCTGCGGGTCGCTGCGGGTCGCATCGCCAGATGCTGACCGCCTTGGCCTGTGCTGGCGGATTGGCTGCAATCTTCACTTCCATGTTGAGCCTTGGTGAAAGAGACCACGTTGCACAAGCGTTGGAGACCCACATGGAACCTGGCATGGATCAGATGGCATGGATCAGACTGGAAGACGATGTTCCGAATACAGACCGGGCGTGGAAGACTCAGGTTCCATGTTGGTCTTCCGGGGGTCATGTTGGACCATGTTGGACCTGAAATAGTAAACAGTTCCCCCCTTTACTATGTCCGTGGTTGAACATGAGGAGTGCTTTTCCCGTCAGTCCCTGCATTCATTTGCTCTTCCGGTCGGAATTGCCCCTGTTTTGGAGGCCTGGGCTATACGTAGTGTGGAGATATCCAGCCAGGTGACCCCGAACGGAAGCAGCTACACAGACCTCTCTGACAGGCTCCGTTCAAGTGAGTTCCTGTTCATCCCGGTGTTGCAGCGAGCGCACGCAGCTGACTCCGACTTGCGATCCGTCACCTTCGGGCTCAAATCCCACATGCTTTGTGGGACTGGGGCTCTCCCAAAAAGACGACTTGGATTCAAATTCAGACTGAGTCTCAATCGTTGAGCACAAATTAATACCGAAGGAATCTGAATGACCTCTAAGATTGGACCACCAATCACCCAAAATATGGTCAAACTGAGTCCAACTTCCTATCAAAACAGAGGTCATGTTTGGGTTCTAGGTAATCACTGAGTCGTCACTGGGTGTTGAAAAAGTTCATGTATCAATGGGAGGATGCCTGCGCATCCGTCACCTCGTGGCCTTCGTCTCTCCCTGCTTGAGGACTGGGTTGAAGAACACCAAGGATGTGCCCTCGCCGGCATCAAACTCGCGCACGTAGCTCACTCGCGCGGCGTTTGGAAGAACACAATGAGTAAACAGGTTGAAGTGGATGAGGTGTTTCTTGAGTGGTGGGGTTGTCACGGAGTTGAACATTTGCCCATATTTGCCCCCTCAGGGGTATGGGATATCCTCAGGTGGGCAGAGTTCTAAATTCAGAAGGACTGCCGCTGCTTTTGCACATTTTCGCTTCCCAGATCTGCTCGGGACCCCAAACGCACGCCCAAACCGCGCGGAGCGCGCACGCGCGCACGCGCGGTTTGCGCGCTTCTTTCTCGCATGCTTCTTCTTAGCGAACGAGGGGTCGGATGCTCAGGAACTGGAACGGATGCTCTACGAAGAGATCCCTGAAGTTCTGGAGTTAGCCGCCCGTCCCTTCTGAAAGACGACGATCGGCATACTGGAAGATAAGACCAAGGCACTTTGGTCATCGCTTGGTCTTAGTCCGAAGCCATGAGTCCTTTTAGACGACTATTGTGCTGGTGAGTTTCGTTGCATTGTGGAACATCATGCATCACCTCTTCAAAACAACTGCGTGTCATATGTTCTATACCCTCTCTCTCTATGTACATATATGTATGTCAATGTGAAGTCTAGTATGAAGTATATAATATAGGCTTCCAACAACTATCAATTTAATAGGCTTTACCGAATCAACTAAGAATTTTACACTACAAAAAACAGGTCAACATTTTTTGTTACTGGTCTTGGAAGCCTAGGGTATATATATATATATACAGTTGTCCCCTGCATAGGCAACAAAAACACTCCTTGACGGATCAGCCTTCCCCCCAAAGAATCACTCGTTGCGTTTCTGTCGTTGCCTAGTCGTTGCAGATTCGCAAGGCACAAGGCACGCAACATCACGGCGATCGGGTTTTCGCAAAAAAGAACGTGCCATGCTGTGCCATGCAATGCCCCAAATCAACGGCGACTGGAAGTTGATGCACCATCCACACTTTCTCGCATGGTTTGGAACTACACCACGGACCGCCGGACGAACGAGAGTTCAAGCCGCGGGCGCATCCGGGCCGCTTGCCGCGTCCGCAGCACGACGAGGTGTGCGACAGCTTCCTGGAGCAATACGACAAGACCTCGTCAGGCCGAAGTGGGGACACCGCTCTTGGCAACCAAGAGGTGGAAGGTCAAACGGAGTCAAACGGTGAACCTTCATTTTCCAAGGCAAGCGTATGTGGGAGTCAGTTGAGCCCAGTGATGTTCCTTTGGGCGTTTTGGAATTCACCAGGTGGGAACGTCTTCAAGTTTGGCAACTGTAAGGCTGCTGCCCTTCTTTGTTCTCAAGCCAAGCGACAAATGGGAAGGTCATCCAAGTATAGGAATGTGCAGGAGAGAACCCTTGATACATTTTGATACCCCATGGAATCTGCCAATTAACATGGGGGTTCTTCTTAAAACATCTCCAAAACACTCTCCAAAACTCTCCCGTCAAGTAGGGCAAACATCAAGAACCTCAGCATACATTCATTATCATTCATTCATACAAAAAGTGGACTGCCGTGAGGGAAGATCAGCTGCCCGGAGAGAATCCGGGTGGAACCAAAACTGACAGCCCTAAGAGTCCGTGCCCAACACATCTAAGCTTCGGCTTCGGGCCCTCCCCCTGCGAAGAGGTGGAGAAGGGCTGCCAAGAGGTTGGGCCCGTTTCGGACCCCCCAAAGTCGGTGGGTGACCGGTGTGCCTCAAGATGTCCCAAATCAGGTTGAAGAACCCATAAGAACCCTATAATATAGGCTATCCCAGTCCGGTACCGCTTACGGGTCCTATTTACGGTCACTGGCCACCTCCGGTGCTAATCCCATTCCCTCGCCACCCGAGCCGCCCCCGGCCGATCCGCTCCTCCAGGCCGCTCCAAGGCGGTGGTCGCGACCTACCGAAAGCTGGAAGAAGAACTGGCGGAGCTTCCTGGGACCCAAAGAGGGACGTGGGAACGGGTCGGATGGCGGTGAAGCTCAGGTGGTTGAGGCGTGAATGAAAGCACACCTCCTTAAAGACATGGATAAAACCATGTTTAGAAACAGGCCGCAGGCTGCAGGCCGAATTGGATGAATTTGATGAGTCTACATGAGAGGAGTGGTTTCAAGGGAGTGGTTTCCCCACTAAACCTCTCTACATCTCGTCTATCGATGGCCGGCACCGGCATCGGCATCCTACAACCTGAGAAGGAGAGACCCCGGTCGTTCGTGTGCAAGCAATAGGCCTATGGTACGCACTGCATGTAGACTGTTGATTAGTATAACACCTCCACTTGGATTATAACAACCTCTTACTCTTCAGATATGTTTTGTTTTTCATCATCGATGTTTGATGAAATGGAGCCACATGAAGTTGCTTGCAACAACTGAAATGCCTCAGATCGATCGAGGTCCGGTCTTGGAAGGCAGGTCTTGGGAGGTCCCAGGCAGCAACCACCGGTCGTTGGTGGGCTCAAAGAGTTGGTTTGCCCTTGTCAGTCCAATGGTGGTGCTGGACATGGGCGCAGTTTTGGTTCAAGCATTTTCTGGACATGGAGTTGGGGCTGCAGTGGTTTCAGAGTGGATGTCACAACCCCGATGTTTTTGTTGTTTAATGTGGGGGTCCATTTAAACCACCGACCTTGGGGATTGTGCAATCTACTCTTGAAACCACTGTACATCCCGTGAAAGCTGCCTCTAGCACCGGGCTTAGCACATGAGGAAGACCGCTGACTATGTGAAGGAACGGCTGAAGAAGAACGAGAAGGTGAAGGACGGAGGCTGTTGGATTTGCGCTTGGTTGGCCGGGCTCGTGGGTTTCGCAGCAAGCCTGGCCTGAGCCATTCGCTTATCGACCCTCAAAGTTGTGCAGTCACTCCAGCACATGCAGTGCATCGACCTTTCTATCCTTGGATTAGTTTAAGGGTTGGACTCGGTTGGACAGTTTTGAATGGGATGTTCCCGCGGCCATTTCGAGGGAATCACTGAAGACCCCTGCAAAAAGCAGGGCCCCCTGTCCGGAATTCTGCCTCCTCACAGATGGTGAGGGAAACCCTGTGAGTTCCAACCTCCCCACCAAACCAATCCCAGACGCAACTAATGGGACTGCCTGCCTTCAAAACGGCCAGGGGTGGTGCCAGAGGGGTCTGGCCTGATCGGCAGTCCCATGTGTCGTGTCTGGGAATGGTGGGTTCACCTCCCTGAACTTTTCTTCGCAGACCTCTCGCGGAGGAGGTGCTGGGTGCAGGCAAGACACCTAAAGAGACTTTGGGGCTGCTTGGCAGACGTCCAGCCAACCGAAAGAGGACGCAATATAGCCCCCCCAGCCGCCCATTATAAATAACATAAAGCATAGTATAAAGCATATATATATATATATGGAGTAAAGCATGTCAAGCTTCATCCATAGAAGCCGATTCCATCTTCAATAAGAAGCGGGAGTTTCAGGGTTAAGCGTAGCAAGATATAATATTCCATGCCTTGGTTAAATTAGTCAAGGGTGACCATGGGTCCTGAAAATATGTAAAATAGATACAATTGAAGCATTGAGACGCAAGAGGGTTTTGGGATATTTTTCAGGGTGGAGCATTGTTTTTTTTGGTGATGACTCGAGGGCATGTTCTTGAGTCGGCATCATTCTTGATTCGGCTGCATGAACCACTTGAGTCGGTCAGTGCAAACATTGGCAGAAAGAATCGGCGATCACCCACAACTGCTCATGACAGGGGTAGCAGATGGATTGTGTTATGGACAGGTCATAGTCGATGATAGAACACGGAAACAGAGAGAAGCCTTCACACCACTGTGGGTGGTCCTGAGGCCAGCCAGTCTTCCAAAGGCCCAGGCCATCAGCTATGAACGGTCTCACATCCGGTGGAGGCCATCTGCCCACTGGTGCTACAGCTGAGCATGCTCTAGTCGGGTTTCACAAGCCAATCACTGTAGAAGGAAGGGATCCAGGGTCGAGTCTGTAGTAATAATCATCCAATCTTACTAACTGCTAATTTTTAATGGGATATACCCAAGATATGGGAATGGGTCATGACCCACCATGTTCGCCCGACCAGTCTACCATGGTGCAAACGAGCGACACCTGGAAACCGGTCGTGGCAAAACACAGAGTAGCTGCTGTAATCTGGTGCCGCAGCAGCACATGTGACCATATGTGACCCGATCGGTGTTTGCAGTTCTTCCACTGAGGTGTTTGTTCACCCGGGCGTTGGTGAAAAGCAAGATTTGGCCAGATATTTTGCTGCAGGAGCTCTTTGGATGAAGTATCGACCACCCTCCAAACGAAGCGAGGGGGAGTGGGGTTGCACAGGCGGACTCAAGAACAGGACATATAGGACCAAATGTGGGAATTTTTAGCACTCGGAATGCGTGGGCAAGATAGGCTCCGCATGCTTTGGGTGTTGGATAGTGATGGGGTGTTGGTGCCGCCATTGTTGGACCGGCTGAGATCATCAAGTGGACTGTTTCTTCCTGCTACGTGTTGTTTCACGCTAGGATGTCTAATACATGTCTCACTTACCTACCGTTTGGCTCAAGGAAAACCAGGTGCGACTTGTTGGTAGTTCTCGGTCGTTTACCTGTAACTACAGGTTATCAGCCGTATCGCCATAAGTGCGGTACGTGCTTCCTACTAGCTGTGGTCTCACCCCACCATAGGTAGTGCACTATCTAGAGGCCATGGCTGATGATGATGGTTCCCGTGGTGACCGCTCACGCTCAGGCTACGTTCCTACTTCGCCTGCGATGTCCAGTTCACCTGCTCCTGATCTCCCTGTCGTTCCGCTGGAGTTGCGTGTACCAATTGGGCCACCGACGTTCAGTGCACAGGGGGACCTGTTGCCTAGTGTTCAAGCCCCGTCGCCGTTTCAACCTGAGTTTTCTCCTGTGATGAATGTCCAGAACGTTGATGCAAGACAGATTCATCAACAAGCCGTCTTCGTCAATGAGGATAGGTCAGCTCAGGTAGCTCAGATCGCGGAACTGCGGCACCAGGCCATTTTGGCCGAGCATGGGCAACAAGTAGCAGAGGATGCTAGGCATTTTAGAGACTTAGTGGAGAACCAAGCTAAAGTGGCTGTCCAGGAGTCTAGGGAACAAATTGAGGCTTTAGCCAATCAACGATTGAGTGACATGAACCAAGCCCACCAAAATCAACATCTTAATGAACAACGGGCTTACCTAGATCGCCTTTCGCTCGAACGACACGCCGTCGTTGAGAACGAACGCGCCTCTGCCAAGCAAAGAGAGGATGCACTTCGGTCAGAGTTAGCAGAACAGAGTCGAATCATCAAGGAGTTGAGAGAGAGGTTTGACAACGCCTCGGGGAACCGAGTGCCTGCACCATCAATGCAGCCACTTGGGTCTCAGGTGTCCCCAGCTTTGCCTCCAGCGAGCCTTCGCACTCAGTTGGAGAAGCCCGGGATCGAAGGCGGTGATGAGCCTCATCCATCCGATGCTGATGGTGACAAATCAAAGAAAGACAAGAAGAAGAAAGGTAAGGATAAGAAGAAAGAGAAGAGCCCAAAGAGGGGCCGCTCTAGGGAGCGCAGAAAGAAACGCTCTCCTTCCCCATCACCCTCGTCACCCAGTTCATCAGGAGGGAGTGATGACTCAAATGACTCAAGTTCTGAATCATCGCGTCTTGCACGCATCATTCGCAAGGAGCTGAAGAAGCAGCAAAGGAAGTCGAAAGACAAGGATCATGAGAGTAAAGCCAAAGAGGCTGACAAAATTCTCATTCCCAAGTTCCCAACACCTGAGAAATACAGAGACTGGAAGATCAAGGTGAGGGACAATATTGCTGCAGCTTCAGCGAAGCCGGATGAAGCGAGATCTTGGGTTGGGAAAGTATACAAAGATTCCCAAACCATTGATGCCTTGGATGATTCAGAGGGATTCGCAACCCTCGACGCAAAGCTTCTTGCAAGCTTAACCAATTGCGCTGAGGGGGACCTCGGTCGGCAGATTGCTACATTCAAGGAGCTGCGAGCTCGTGAAGACAAGAACGTGAAGGGCAGGCATTTGCTACTTCGGTTCCACGAGTACTTTGCCACAAGCATTAAGCATGGAGCAATCTACGGACTCGAAGACCTCATGTCCGTCAAGATGGTCAACGATGACCTCAAGGGCTTTATAAATAAATGGGATAGCGTCCTTGCCGGAATGAAAAAGGAACCAGAAAATAGTGTTCTGAAAGCCTATTTCCACCTGGCAGTGAAACGTTTCAAGCCGCTTGAGCATGACTTGGCCTTGTACGACCGTGCAGCCGATGGAAGCAAAGAAAGAACATACGACTTCCTGATTACTGCTGCCCGGGCCTACCTCGAACGGAAGAGGTTGGAAAAGATGCGCGACGCCACGAAGCGTTCGCTCGGGTCCAAAGACACAACCATGCCAGCTCCGGAGGAGAAGAAAGGCATCTGCTACGAGTTTCAAAAGACCGGAAAATGCAAGCGCGGATCATCATGTCCTTACAAGCACGAAAAAGGCCGCGAGAAAAGCAAAGGAAAGGGAAAGGGTAAGGATCGCAGCCAATCTCGGTCAAGATCGCTGACACCCGGATCTCGCAAGGAGACTTGCAAGTTTTGGAAGGCAGGGCATTGCCACCGAGGAAAAGACTGCGCATTCCAACACCCTGAAAAGACTGTCCCTGCGAAGAAAGAGGACAAAAAGAAGAAGAAGAAGAAAGACAAGAAACCTCGCAAGCGAAGCAGCTCACGAGGATCATCAGGCTCCGACAACTCAACTGGCTCTGAGAGTCAGAGGAGAAAAGGTGGGAAGTCTTCTTCTTCCAATGCACCGGCAGCGGTATGCCTCCTTCGAGCAGTGGTCATGGCCGCAGTGGTCTCTCAGGGATCCTCCGTCCTCATCACTCGCCCGCTGGGAAGCGTGGCCATGCCAGTCCTTTCCGCGTCAAACACTATGTGCACCGATTTTGACAACACAGAAAACATTGACAATTTTGTTACGCAAAGAGTTCATTT